CAGGTCCTTTTGTTCAAGTAAACTATTACAGTAGCAACACATTGTTACAATCACATATCACTTCAGCATTTTTTGGGGGGTAATCTTATACACACAACAGATGATCTACAGCCATATTCTTCAACCTTTAGTCCAAGCATGTGCACTAGTACACACTTGTATCTTACTTTCTCTTTTTTTTTGTTAACAATTAATTAAATCTGTTGGTAACCCCACCTTCTTCAGGTATATGGTATGGATCAGACATTATGTATCATGACTTTCTAACCCTCTCCATGCTCTGATATTATAATTCTTTCAGTCTTGGGTAGATGTTACTTGAACATGTTCTATCCTAAGAAGTTGTTACTTTAAACAACTAACAAACAGTTTTGTCTGATATAATTAAATAACACAATGAGATAAAGAAAATTTAAACAACATTATGGTAAAATTAGTTAGTACAGCAGGTTTATGAAATACATGAAGTTAAGAAAAGTACTTCTGTTGAATTAAGAATCGACATCACAGCACTCGGGACACTCCCATAAGTGCTTACTCACCACCTTCAGCAGCAAGTGAAGAGTTCCAATTCCAGTGGTATCAGTAACTGTCTGATTGTATATCCGTCTCATCCTTACCCTAGGTGTTCTGCGTCAGCCAGATCCCCTGGTTAACTCATTGCAGCACCATTCTCCTTAGACCATAATGATCTATCTGCGCCTCTGTACTGTTCACCCGCTCCCAAAGGGCCCTCACAATATTAACTTGTCATATCAATTCACCACCAAGTGGTGCAGAGCCAGCCAGTCTATCTGCCTGCTCATTTCCCAACACACTGGCATCCCTGGAGAAAATGTCCAAAGGATGGTAACCACCCGGTACCTCTGAAGTGATGCTTGCCACTCTGCACAAAGCATGCTTGTTTTCACCTTCTGTGAAGATATACCAACAAATGCATGATACGTTCCCGGGTCCTAATGAGTTGATGCTGTTTTTCTGACCACATCACCTACCTTTGATTGCCGCATCACCTACCTTTGATTGATCTATAAAATATAGGTCTAGCCCCAGTAGACGTGAAGATGTGGAAAAGGATCCTTTCATTACAATAATTGTATTCAAGGGAAAAGGGTGTATCAGTAATGTTAGAGGAGAATGAACTGTCTTGATCATTGTTTTTCCCTTTTAAATCTAGTGATAAAACTAATCTAAACAATAATTTAAAACTACTATATAAACCGTACTGCTTCCACTAGCTTGAAACATAAAAGGAACATGTGTTGACTTGTGATATTACAGTCTTCTGTGATCATTGATTATGTACTGAAGAATGCACTGAATGTTTTATCATCTGAGCCTAGTAGGATGTACACAACACAAGTTCTGCTTTACGTTTGTAGTTACAATGAAGTCTCTAGTACACACAAACAAAAATCAGTATTACAATATCTGAATCACTGAAGCCTACACAACACCTGCCAACTAATCTGAAAAATGCCAGTTCCTGTATGGGTTCTGGAGCTCCATTCTGGAGATACAGAATAAGGCCACTGGCCCCTAATAAGCATGTTATAGGAGGTGACCAATTAGGGGTGTTTCTTTCAAAGTTGGAGTGCATCTGCCCGAGATGCAAGGAACCAATAGTTTGCATACAAATAAATCAGACCCGTAACACATATGAGCATACAAAACTCAAGTTCTGCAGCAAGGCCAAATTTAGGAGTGAATGAACAACCAAGACTTCCCACTGGTGTTTACAGCTGGTGAATGTGAAGAGATTCCAGCTATACTGTATGAATACAAACCCACAGAGGATTTATTGTTAAACTGAACTGGGCTTCCAAGCTGATGCAGCTTAGTGGGTATTAGGAAATGTTACAGGGAGCAGGGGCAGCTAGTGCCATAGTGCCAGCTGGTCTACCTAAATACGGAACTAGCACCATACGTAGTATCCCCAACACTACACTGCAAGGTATAGGAAAGGAGCTTTTATTTAGCATTGTCCACTTTGTCTGGCAGTACAGGCTTCAGATTTTAGGGGCACAACACACACAAAACAACACCGAAAACATTGTTTTCTTATTTTATCATCAAAATGAAAAAAAAAGGAATAAATCAAGACATGAAAAACTCAAGTAAATAAATATTCACTTGTCAGAGACTTTATGTACTTCGGTAGCACTGATAATTTAGCAGACTCTCTTTTCTCAGCCATCTGAAATTCACAATTCTGGTATCAGGAACTTGTCTGAGGAGGCAGCCATTCCAATTTAAGCATTCATTCATGATCTGTTTAGCTGCTGCTGCTCATAATCAAAACTATGTTAATGAATGGTAACCATGCAACCTGTTAGAGGAATCTAGGGTCACAAGTCAGCATGGTATAAACTGTGCTGAAAAAATATGTGTCATGCAAACTAGATAACGTGTTTATCCAGATTTTCTTCTCTTCCTATAATCTTTATTTCTTCAAGGTATTATTAATGCTGTTCTTCCATATTTTATTACTATTCCCCTAGCTAGGTGTCCATTATATTTCTTCAGCCTGGCTCTCTGTGGGCAGCTGGCATCAGGACATTGTCACTAGATGGCCAAACTATCTCATCTCTTGCTCTTTAACTGCATCGTTGGTTTCAGTGATATTTTCTTAATTTTTGATTTAATCTTTTTTCTTTTGTTCCTCATACAGCTTTTTAAGACATCTCATCTCTGTTATGATTTTGCAATCAATAATTGTAGTAAGGGTCTTGTAGTAAGGGTCTATGTTTGACGTGATAGCACAGAGATGGCTAACAAATTTTTATCAGATTTGCCTTCATAGACAAAAGTATAATTGTGTGTGTTAAAAGAGTATTTTTTGTCACAGTACTTGACCTAGTTTTTTTTTTTTTTTTTGTGCACACTATATTGATTTCTCTATCCCTTCTTCCTTGTGAGGTGGAAATTCGCTTTATCTCTGTATTATTTTATTTTATTGAATGGTTTCTGGTCATCTGCATATCATAGGATTTGCAGATCCCAGAAGACGTTTTGTTTGGCAGTGGTGAAACATCGCAAGCTAAGTTTGGTTTGGGCACGTGGTGAGACATGATTCTATTGCAAAGACTATACTTCAAGGAAAACTTAAAGGGTAGACAAAGAAGAGGGGGACAAAAAAACACCCGAAAAGACCACATTAAGAAATGGTCAGCACTAAATTATTATACACTTGTATAGAGCAGAAAGAGAAATATGGCCGGTTTTGTGTGTTAGTGCTTTTATCTATACACCTCCACAACCCTAGCGGGTCAAGGGTTATATCAACCTTTGACCTAATACAACAGAAAAACCATTGTATATCACTATAGATGGGTCAGTTTACCTGTAGTGTTAGGTATAGACAATACTACATTTATACAACTTACACAAAACTATACCTATACCCATAAGGTGCCACGTAAGAAAATACCTGTTGATAACAGTTTAAACCAAAGAGGGTTCTTTTACATATAACATTCATACATAAATTGTCTGTCAACACAAAAGACTGCAACACATAAATGAAATATCCAAAGAAGGTAATTATGCCATACATTTTACAACACAGTAGACTTCCTTTTATTATTCTTAAAACTGACATTAACCAGTTTTTTTGTATGTGACTTCAAGCAGTAATTACTGCCTACATTGCTGATTACAGAGGGTACATATATTCAACAAGCTGACTGGATATTCTGTATATGCAATGAGAAATTAATGTTATCATTATTCCATGGCAGACTATCTATAAGTCTGCAGGCAAACTGAACTGATATGGATATCCTTCAAATTATTATTTTAAAACATCTATTATTTACCACTTGACGATTAACATCCAGTTATTGGCATTAACGGGATACAAAGCTGTAACTTTTGCCAGACTTTTAATTATATTGTTGTCTTGTTTTTTAAATATTCCCATCATTACTCAACATCAGAAAACAACGTAGCCGACTCGTATACTGTAAAAGTAAATAAAAACAGAGATCAGCTGTGAGGCAAAACCAGGAAGTTTCCTACTGTCATCTAAGACACAACCCTGCAGTTAACGGTAGTCCCACTGCAGATACTGCCACAGCACAGTGGCATGTGAAATGTTAGGCCTTCACATATTCTGGGCTATGACCTATGAGGGTGACCAGTCCTAGAAAATCCGGTCACCTTTTGGGGGGTTGAACCCATACCACTGCCTCGGCTGGCAGGCCTTACAGTTATATTAAGGAAAACTCTGCCCACTTCTTCTTTTCTCTAGACTGTCCACTATTTCTGCTAAATACATTTTCACCTCTGCACTTTTATAGTTCGAGCACTGACTTTTACCAATCACATCATTTTGCAATGTAAACCTAGAGATGCAGATCAACCTTAACCAAGAAAATCCCCACCATATCACTATATGTTAAATAAATCAATAGTCACAATGTTCACATAAATAATGGACAGATCTGGCTTTGTCAGTAACATTCAAGATGCAAATGTGAGTAATGTATAAGCTAATGTCACAAAATACTTTGAGCAAAATAAAAGTAACAAAATACATACATTGTTGATGTATCAGCAAAGAAAGAAAACTGAAGCAATACACTGCAACAAAAACTAACCAATTTAACCATTTATGTAAACAGTACTGCATGCACATAAAAGATCAGTGGAAATATTAAATGTGCCCATAACAGAAAGCAACAATTAATTTTAAAAATGTAGAATAAAATTCATCTAACTTGCTGGTCAATAATCTCGCCCCAAAGAATAAAGCAATATTTCAATGCTTATGCTGTTTACATAATTTTGTATGCAGTCACACATCAAAGATTTTCTAAACTGCCAAACCAACACACAAATAGCCAGCTACTTAAAGCTGATGGAAAAATTAGCCCCCTGAGGCACTGTCGTAAAGAAGCACAATTAACACCATCGTTATGTCTGTAATATAATCATCTGAAACTTGGATGACCACAGAAAACAGTTTACCATCACAGGGCACTATGATAAATATGTGTTCAGTTTTTCTCAACAGGAAATCCACTAGGTTTAGCAAACTTGTCTGCATGCACTCTTGGTTTCTGGAAAGAGAAACATTTCTGTTAAGATGTGTGTTGGAATTTACAATTACAACTTTGCAACTACAGTGAGCACAGCCACAACCATCAGAAAGTGTACAAATGAATAAAACGGCAGCATTTAAACATCTCTCTGCAGGGACTTCCGGTGTAAACAGCCACAATGGCGGTACGCTTTTTCGTCCGTTGAGGCGAATGGCGCAAATTAGCTATTTTCGCTCACGTATAATGTGAAAGTTTCATCGGAATGGGGTCTAAACCGTGCAATGGAGTACATGCACGTGAGTTTAGACTTCCCTCAGGGTGTATTCGACGTCCGATGGCAACTATTTACCAATTCAAAACAACCCGTAGACGGACAAGTCCGACAAGGAGAACGCGAACAGGCATGCACGGTGGCGCCTGCAGGAAGCGACTGAAATGTGAGAGACTCAGTTTAAAGTATGTTCGTGTTCTCTACTGGAACTGCGCTTCGTTTAGTCAACGCCGACCCATTTTTGAGAAGCTCCTCTACAGCAACGACATTGTTGTCCTACAGGAAACACACCTCGGTGACGAGATCGTTAAAATTGCGGGCTTCCAATCCTTCTACAATAGACGGCATCTCGGACAGCTCATTCTTGTTCGTGACCACATACCGGTGTCTGAGGTGGACATGTCTAAGTGGAATAATGACGACTTACAAGTACACGCAGTCAGAGTGATGGGCCCGGCCCAGTTTGTGATTGTCAATGTGTACGCCTGCAATGGAAAGGTGGATACAGCGAAATGGCAGAGTTTGCTCCAGACGGAGGAAAAGAAAGTCCTTTACTGCGGAGATTTCAACGCCAGAGGACACCAGTGGGGCAATGTAATCACTAATAAACAGGGGTAAGACCTGGAGGATGCCCTAGTGTCTGCCAATCTAGTATGCTTGAACGACGGAAAGGTTACCCGAATGGCAACACGACAAGGGGATTCTGACAGCGTAATTGACCTGGCCCTAGTGTCTCCCTCCATTGCATCAGGATGCAGGTGGAGCACACTGGGATACCACGACAGTGATCACTTTCCTTGCGTCGTCCGGGACTGAGCCTCGAGAGGCAGGGGGTAAGAAGTGTTGGTGTTGTGGGTAGCGGGTTCCCCCCCTTACTTCACCCTAGGTCTAGTGAATATCTGTTCACGAAAGGAGCGTCCATTGTGGTGTCAGCCTCTTGACCTAGCAAAACCTCTCTTACCTCAAGACCATTGTGCGTGGCGAAGAGTCACAGCCTCCCCGAGGTAGTCCCGGTAACTGGGGGTGCGAATCCCCAGGCAAAACACAATGGATCTAGAGGAGCAAACCTCGATAATAAACCCGGTGCACCACACCGTACTGCCCCCTGTGGGAGGGAAGGAACCAGAGGTGTGCTGAACAGTCTTAGGAATGGAAACAAGTATGCTAACCCCCCCTGAATACCGGAAACTATCGTGAAGGCACAGGGACTCAGGACGTGACGATCCAGTTGCCCCAACTACTCATGCTTAGAGACATGAAGAGCTCAGCGAAACCTGCAGGCAATCTGGTGGCGGGGAATGAGAACACTGTGAGCCCCACCTTAGCTACGTGTTAAAGGGAAAGGCAGAAACACAACCCATATTTCCTTTAGAACTGTACAGGGCATTTCTAGCTGCTGCCCGGGGAGGTAGGTAATCCACAGACACCCCAGCACCACAATGCCATGAATATGTCCTTGCGTCGTCCTGGTAGAGAAGAGCAACAACAAAGGTCATGTAATCAATGTGCCTGCTTTTATATATGACCATACAGGGCAAGATGCCATTAGCAAAATCCGACGACGTAAAACAAGAGCAGATCGCAGACGGCGGGAGAGATGGGCCCAGCCACCATGGTGGAATGAAGTAGTCAACATGGCGTGGCTAGAAAAAAGGAAAGCTGTCAAGGCATGGCAAAAGGCAAGGAAAATTGATCCGTCACTTTCTGAACGCCTGATCAGTCTGAAAGATGAGGTCAACAAGCAGACATGGCTTTCAAGTTAATTGCGAAGAAAGCTAAGACAGCGAAATGGAACGAATTCTGCAAGAGCGTTTGCTCCGAGGGATCTCTTGTGACATTCTGGCGCCTTCAACGGAGCATGCACGGCGCCGCACGACCAAGGGGTATTCCTGATTTTCAGGGTACAGACCTGATATGGCAGAGAACTGACGCTGATATAGGAAAAACCCTTCTGGCGCGCTACTTGGAGCAAACTGACCAAAAAGACGAAGCTACAAGAATAGGGGTTAAGATGAAACTGTCGATGCTGTGCGAGAACACTGTGCTAGGCACTGATGCTCACAATCACTGCAGATACCTTAAGAACTTGCCTCAAGAAATCACGCAGCACTGCTCCAGGCCCTGACGGCATCCGATATAACGACATGCTGATGATGTCGAATGCTGATTTGAAAAGCGTGGCAAAGGAATTCAATATCAGCATCCAGAGTGGCCAGATACAAGAGGAATGGCTCCATAGTTATTTGTTCCCACTACCAAAGCCTAATAAAGACCACTCGAAGATCTGCGGCTACAAAATCATCTCGATGCAGAATACTGTTGGCAAACTTTTGGAAAAAATTGTCGCACAAAGATTGACCACCTACTTGAACTATATGATAAGTTCCCACCAACACTTGGAGGGTACAGGTTAAATAAAGAGACATGGTTCAATGCTGCAGTTTTCGCCTACGATGTGTACGAGGGATTTCAGATTAAAGAAGAGACATGTGCAGCAGTGTTGGACTTAGAAGATGCCTACAATAAAGTACCATACGATTATTTAATGCAATTACTGCTTAAACTAGAAGTTAATCCTATTCTGATCCGCTGGATTGCTGCGGTCCTGTTCCAGAGAAAGATTGTACTAAGATGTGGTAGCTGGTCCTCAGAACCGCAAACGATATGTCCAGGCTTGTAACAGGGATCACCGCTATCACCAGTCTTATTCAACGTTTATACGGTGATGATCACTGAGCAGCAGTTGCATGGAAAGGGAAGGACTTTGTCATTTGCTGATGACATTTTGATTTATCGACGAGGGTGTGATAGACAGGAGATCACCAGCACTATGCACAAAGAACTCGATCGAATTGCCGCCTGGTGTGATGGTTCCAATGCCTATGTCAATCCTTTAAAGGCATCAGTGTCATGGTTCTCTTTGAACAATCACATTGTCAAGTCGGACTTACCAGAAGTGAAAATGCGTGATAATGTATTGATCAGAACCAATGTTATGACGTTTCTCGGGGTGAGGTTCGATCGCAGCTTGTCATTCAGGGAACACGTTGACCATGTGATAACAAAAGCACACAAAGGTCTATCTGCAATGAGGATTATGGCTGCTTCCAATATTGAGCAAAGACTACTAATACTTCTATTCTACGGTCTGGTCCTTTCCCCCATTGAATACGCTCTGGCCATCCTCACTGTCAGTGCTACCCAGATTAAACGACTCGAAAAGGTGCAAAATGAAGCCATGTGCATTATTTTGGGATGTACTAGAGACACATCCTGTGGAGCAATGAGGTATCTACTTGACTTTCCAACAATGAACCAAAGGATCAGGATGTGGAGGGCTCGGGCATACCTCAAAATATGTGCTGATAATAAACACCCACTGCATCAAGCGCTTTTTAGTGAAAAGGGCGACAGACTGAAGAGGGGGAAATTGTGGCTAGGTCGGGCAGAAGATGTTATTAGGCAAATATGCAGCCTAACCGACATCATACCTAGTGCAGAATGGATACCTGTGCCTCAGGCGTTTATTTGTACATTTTCCTGTATTGTCACACTCAACAGGCGATGTAGAGAAGAGAATCCTGTTGCTGTTAATGCAGAGGTCAACGCTCTCATCGGTGAAAATTCAGACGAAGTAGATGCAATAATCTATACAGACGGATCCGTTATACGCCAAAGAAGAAGCGCATGGGCATTTACAGCACGCTCAGCGGGCAGAACAGTCAAAGAAGCCAACAGCGCCTTCTCCATGACAACCAGCAGCATGACGATGGAGGTGATGGCAGTGACACAAGCGCTTGCCTGGCATGAAACACAAAAATACACCCGCTTGTGTATACTCAGTGATTCAATGAGTATGATCCTGAGGGTTCAGGCAGATTCAGTGCGAAGACAATGGCTTGAATCATTACAGAAGTCCACTGTGCATGGCGTCACCTTTTTTTTTTGGTTCCGGGGTACGCAGGCGTCGATGGAAATGAAAGAGCTGACAGGTTGGCTGGATCCGCTATCACTACCGACGGTCAGCCTATGGATCATGCTGATATTATCAATGCCCTCAGAGAAATGGGAAGGATAGAGGACTTTGGTGGCAGTGAATGCACATCACTCGCCAGAATGGCAGACTTGGGAATTAAGATCGGCACAGCAAAAAACGAGACGGACACCAGCTACGCCAGAAGACTTGTTAATCAACATAGAACTGGTACTATTAGCCATCGGACGTTGGGGTTCATACTGAGGGAAGGATCTGAGCACCTATGGACATGTCCGGAGTGCAATGAGGATAACCCAACTAACTAACTAACTAACTAACTAACTAAATCTGCAGAAAGCTAGTATTTAAATATTTGTCTGCAGACAGCTAGTATTTAAATGTTTGCAGCCAGCTAGTATTTAAATATTTGTCTGCAGCCAGCTAGTATTTAAACATTTGTCCACTAGCCAGCTAGTATTTAAATGTTTGCAGCCAGCTAGTATTTAAATATTTGTCTGCAGCCAGCTAGTATTTAAACATTTGTCTGCAGCCAGCTAGTATTTAAACATTTGTCTGCAGCCAGATAGTATTTAAACATTTGTCTACTAGCCAGCTAGTATTTAAATATTTGTCTGCAGCCAGCTAGTATTTAAATATTTGTCTGCAGCCAGCTAGTATTTAAATATTTGTCTGCAGCCAGCTAGTATTTAAATATTTGTCTGCAGCCAGCTAGTATTTAAATATTTGTCTGCAGCCAGCTAGTATTTAAATATTTGTCTGCAGCCAGCTAGTATTTAAATATTTGTCTGCAGCCAGCTGGTATTTAAATGTTTGTCTGCTGCCAGCTAGTATTAAATATTTGTCTGCTGCCAGCTAGTATTTAAACATTTGTCCACTAGCCAGCTAGTATTTAAATATTTGTCTGCAGCCAGCTAGTATTTAAATATTTGTCTGCAGCCAGCTAGTATTTAAATATTTGTCTGCAGCCAGCTAGTATTTAAATATATTTGTCTGCTGCCAGCTAGTATTTAAATATTTGTCTGCTGCCAGCTAGTATTTAAATATTTGTCTGCAGCCAGCTAGTATTTAAATATTTGTCTGCAGCCAGCTAGTATTTAAATATTTGTCTGCAGCCAGCTAGTATTTAAATATTTGTCTGCTGCCAGCTAGTATTTAAATATTTGTCTGCAGCCAGCTAGTATTTAAATATTTGTCTGCTGCCAGCTAGTATTTAAATATTTGTCTGCTGCCAGCTAGTATTTAAATATTTGTCTGCTGCTAGCTAGTAATTTTAAATTTATAACAGCAACATTTTAGAGAAAAATATATTGTCCTGATCATTTTCCCCTACATTATGCAGAAAAACAAAAATGATAAACAAATAATGATTTAAAACAATTGCAGAGGAACAATAACATATAAAATGTACTTTCACCATGCATTTGTCTTAACTGAAAATACCTATATCTAGCAATATTTTCAAGCGAAATAGCTGAATATCAGAATAAAGTGCACACAAATGACAGATGACTACTAAAAGTGTACAAGGTATTGGTTCGGTATTTATGAGTTTTAACTCTTTTGGGAATAAGCAGACAGCTTGTCCATTTATTAGATGCTCAGAATATGATAACATTTTCTCAATTTGTTTTGAGCTCCAACAGCTGTTAACTTAATCAGTTCTTTAAAAAATGTTTCATAATTTGATTCTGTTCCAAAGTAAATATGATATCTCCTTCAGACTAAAATGTGTATAACTTTGAAGTAGCAACAGCTTCAGAGGGAAATGTTTACAATAACGACAGCTTGAGACAGAAAGGGTTACAGTAATGACAGTTTAAGACATAAAGGTTACATAACAACAGCTTAGGTCAGAATTGTTTGCAGTAAAGACAGCTTGGGACAGAAAGGGTTACAGTAATGACAGCTTGGGATAGAAAGGGTTACAGTAATGATAGCTTGAGACAGAAAGGGTTACAGTAATGACAGCTCGGGACAGAAAGGGTTGCAATAACGACAGCTTGGGACAGAGAGGGTTGCAGTAACGACAGCTTGGGACAGAAAGGGTTGTAGTAACGACAGCTTGGCAAAATGTTGGCCCTTGGGTAAACTTATTTTAACAGCACTGGGCTACAGTAATGGCAGGTGGGACAGAAAGTTACAGTAAGGGCAGATGGAATAGAAAAAGTTACAGTAACGAGAGATGGGACAGAAAGGGTTAAAGTAATGACAGCTGGGACAAAACGGGTTAAAATAATGGCAGAAGGTTTAAGTTTTGGCAGATGGGACAGAAAATATACAGTAATGAGAGATGGGATAGAAAGAGTTACAGTAAAGACAGATAGGACAGAAAGAATTACAGTAAAGACAAATGGGATAGAAAATGGTTACAGCAATGATATATGGGAGAGAAAGGGTTACAGTAACGACATATAGGAGAGAAAGGGTTACAGTAACGACAGATGGGACAGAAAGGGTTACAGTAATGACAGATGGGACAGAAAGGGTTACAGTAATGACAGATGGGACAGAAAAGGTTAGAGTAATGAAAGATGGGACAGAGAGGATTACAGTAATGAAAGAAGGGATAGAAAGGGTTATAGTAACAAAAGATTGGAGAGAATGAGTTACAATAAAGACAGATGGAACAGAAAAGGGTTATAGCAATGACAGATGGAATAGAAAAGGGTAACAGTAACAGGTGAGACAGACAGGGTTACAGTAACGATAGATGGAACAGGCAGGGTTACAGTAACGATAGATGGGACAGACAGGGTTATATTAATTCCAGATGGGACAGACAGGATTACAGTGATGAAAGATGGGACAAAAGGTTATAGTAACGACAGATGGGACAAAAGGTTATAGTAACGACAGATAGGACAGAAAATGGTTACAGTAATGACAGATGAGATAGAAAATGGTTACAGTAATGACAGATGGGATAGAAAATGGTTACATTAATGACAGATGGGATAGCAAAGGGCTATAGAAATGACAGGTAAGACAGACAGGGTTACAGTAATGACGGGATAGAAAAGGGTTACTGTGGTGCAAGGCAAGTAATGAAGCTTCACATTCATGGACAAGCAAGTCAGGATTCAACCATAAGTAAACCCTGGCTTGCTGAGACTATATAGTACTAAGCTGGTAATAGTTCCTTCCCAGGGTTCTAAGTATTTTACTGACACAAGAGGTCAACCCAATTCCTAAAGGTAAATTGTCTCCTTTAAAACATAACAATTAGAAAGTCAAAGTCTCTGGAGATGTAGATGTAGATGTAGATGTAGATGTACAGATTAATAGATTAAAACAAACAATCAGTTCTGAAGAAGCGGAATGAAAATAGTTGTTAAAAGAAATTAAATACATAACACTGAACATTTTAAAAGACATAACACGATTATGTATCAAGGAAAGTAAGCAACAGGCAGCAATATAAATGGGAAGATAATAGCAAGAGATGGAGGGACAGCAGCTGAGAGAGTGTACAAGTTGGACAAGAGACAGAGCATTTGTTAGAGATCCAGTGCAACCAGCCTTCACTTGGAAACAGCACCTGACTGACTGATAAAACTGACCTGAACACTGTAGTTTGAAGCAGCCCCAAACACTGGTGGAGAAGTGCTAGCTCCCACAAAGGCATTCGGATTGTGCTGTGAACTGATGCCATGTGGGTGGAAAGCCATGGATGACCCATGTGGCATGGTGGAAGGCTGAGCTGGAGGGTGGAATGACTGTCCTGGGGCCGGCCGCCTCATTGGACTGGGAGGACTTTTTGCTGCAATGTAAGTCATACCTGAAAATACACATCTCTATGTTAGAATCTGCCATACCACAAACACCAAAGTCAAAACTTAAGACTTCAGTTTTGTTTTGACTGACAGCAAAAGATTTTAAAAATCTTTTATGAAGTTGTAACAAATCTGCTTGCGCACACATTTTATGTGACCACTCAGTGCCTGAAGATGTCTAAGTGGTCGCTTAAACCAATAATAATAATGTTCATCTCTGTCCATTTTAGTCTGTCTCCACTGTATTGTCTGGGCTCATATTCCCCCATTTTATTTCACTTCTTTGTTATCTTACTTTTTCAGGGAAATAAACTATAATGATAATGCTCTAATTTATTCTCCTTGCTTTCCCCATGCCTTCCTCTGAATTATTAGACACAGTGTGTAAGTGTGCATTACCTTTATGTATTCTTCTTCTTCTTCTGGGTTCATCCGAAGATGTAATTGTGTTGTGTCCGTTTACAGCATGGCTGCGACATTTACACCATCACATCCGACTTCTGCAGTCATTTGTCGACCGGGTTAGCCTTCCCGGTTAGGACATGGCAGTCTTATTGTTGTGTGGTCATCTTTATTTCCCAGGTCACAGGTGGTGCCCCAATCAGGCTGGTCCAGAGAAGCCACATAATGCTGATCAGCCCTCAAGAGAAGGCAGGGGAAGAACATGAGCATTCCCCGCCATCCAAGTAGGCTTCCACAAATGCAGAGCTAGTACATGGTGCTCTGGTACTGAGCTCACCCAAGGAATCGTCACGTCCTGCTCATGACTGTTTAACCTCACTTCCATATATTGAACATCTCATACATCATGGGCTATCTCTTTTGTAGTCAACAGTATGCAGCCTGCAGACCTAGGATTTAATTTACCTACACCATAAAATGAGTAATCTGCTTCTTTTGCATGTTAGACTTTTACTGCAGTGGACTTCCTCATCCACTATAGTTTTACGTGGTTTACAAGCTCTGCATCTCTAGGGACTATCAGCTTCCTCATCCACTATAGTTTTACGTGGTTTACGAGCTCTGCATCTCTAGGGACTATCAGCTCAGAGATCCCAGAGTTTTATTCTTCTTATACATTCAGATGTCAATGTGGATATATTTGAAGAAATCAGCAGTCAACTTGAGGTTGTTGAAATCTCCAGTTTTTCCTCAAAAGTTGCGGGTGTTAGCCAGAATAATTTTTTCTGTTCTGCATATATTGGACACTCTTGCAGCAAGTGTTTAGCCATCATTTTACCCTTTCTACAGTTACAATCATCGTCTCCTATCGTTAGTTTATTGAACAGTGGTGTTTCAGCCTATTATGTCCTGTGCGGAGTCTAAAGATCACTACTTGTTCTCTTCGGCCAAGTTGGTAGTATGCGTCATCCTTATTGTAGCCTGGATGTTCAGAATCCTATTTGATTCTATATGTGCTTCTTATAAACCTCTTGGCTCATCATATGTTATGCCTATTTCAGGCTGTGGTATTCTTCCACCTTTCCCTTGCCAATCTGTCAGCCTCTTTATTTCCAGGTATGTTGCAATGGGATGGAATCCATTGTTTTATGACTCTTTTTGATTTCTGACTCAGTCCATGGAGTGCAGCTCTAAGGTCTGCTAGTTCTGTATCATTTTTGCTCTTCAGTGCTGAGACAACTGACTTTGCATCTGTGAAGAGAGCTATGTATTCCTCTTTATTTTTCTCTGACAGAAGCCTTTCTGCTGCAGTTCTCAGGGCCTCTGCCTCCGCTCTAAAATTACTTGAGAACTTTCCGGTTGCAATTGACTGTGTTTTCTTCGATCCATTTTTTAGATTGAGGACGATTCCCCCACCTCCATTTTCTGTTGAATTTTTTGCTGATCCGTCTGTATATGCATGAGTCCAGGTGTTACTTGGGTTTTGTTCTTCTTAGTAGTTTAATGGGATTTTCCTTCTTTCTGTTTCATTCTGAGTGTTCTTTTTTTCAATACCAGGAATATTTTCTATCAATTCAGGCATATGCTGCTGTCTCCAAGCAGGGAGCGTATATGTAATGTGGACGGGTTTGGATACTTATAAGTTAAGTACAGGATCTTCCCTGATTTTAGTTTTTGCAGTCTCTACAAAGTTTTTTCGCTTTAGTCTTCCCCTTCCCAGATGATGAAACCTTTGATACATGGAGTGATCTGTCAGCCTTCTAAATGTTTCTGCTTGTTGCTGGGCTCTGCTGTCTCTCCTATCCTCCATTGGTTGCAGACCTGTGACCTTTTCTAGTTCATTAATAGGCGTTGTTTTCATGGCCCCAGTTATAATCCGCATTCTTTGATTTTGGACTCTACGTATTTTGATAAAGTTTGACTTTGCTACTGTTGCCCAAGCTGCAATACCATATTCAAGGACTGGCCTTACTCGTCCAATGTATAGTTTCTTGAGAACTTTCTCATCAGCTCCCCATGTTGTGCCAGCAAGTTTTTTCATTATTGCCATTCTTTGCCTTGCTCTTGTTCGACTTGCTTCTACCTGTGTCTTCCATGTCAGGCGGCAATCAAATGTGACTCCTAGGCATTTTGGATTGTTCTCTTGGAGCAGTATTTTTCCATTTACCACTAGCTTAACTGGCTGTTTTTTATTTGAGAGGGAGAACACAGTGCATGTTGTTTTCTCTTCACTGATATTCACTAGCCATGTTTTTGACCATTCCTCTAACACTGACAAGGCTTGCTGCATTCTATTGTTGGCTACACTAATATGTTCTTCGCTAGTCCATATAGCCAAGTCGTCTGCAAAGAATGAGGTATGTACTCTGGTTGGAAAATTACCTGTAATATCATTTATATATGCTAAGAACAATGTTGGTGACAATACTCCCCCTTGGGGTACACCTTGTTCTAACAACATTTATTTGCTAGTTTGTCCTTGTACTTTTGTCCTGGCAGTTCTATTCTCAAGGTAGTGTCTGATCCAGTTGTACATTTTCCCACAAACGTGCATTTTTTGTAGTTTTACTTTGAGTCCCTCTTCCACACTTTATCAAATGCTTTTTCTAAGTCTACCCACACTGCTAGTGTGTGTTTTTTTCTCTTGAAAGGCATCCTCTATTTCCTGGGCTGTATTTGTTATTTAGTCTTCAGTGGATCTGTACTTTCTAAATCCTGCCTGTTGTGGAGTTAATAGGTGCTTTTCTTCTAGATGCCCCATTAATCTGTTATTTATAATGCATTCCATCAACTTCCCTACACAGCTAAGTAAGCTGATTGGTCTATATGCATTTGGTTCTGTCGGGTCTTTTCCTTTCTTCTGGACTGGTATAAGTATAGCTTCCTTCCATGCCTGAGGGACTATTCCTCTCTTCCAGCTGCAGTTAAAGACTGCTAGTAATTGTTTTTTTGCCTTAGTACCCAGTCCTATTATCATTTCATTTGTGATCTCATCCTTCCCTGGTGATTTCTTCTTTTTCATGGAACTCACTGCTCGCTCCAGCTCTTCCATAATCATATTTTCCATCATAAATTCTGATTTCTCTGTGTTATTTTGACATGTCCGTTGCTCTGTCATTGCTTTTTTGTGTTATGGTGTGATATCAATGTGGTTTGCACTAGCATAGTATTCCATCAGTGTATTTGCAGCCTTTTTTCCTGTTAGTATGTTGTTAGCCTGTTTAATGGTTATTTGTTTGTTACTAGGCCCTTCATTGTTCATGGCTTTTACTAATTTCCACAATTTATTTCCATATTTGTCCAAGTTGAGGCTTTCTGTTTTTTCTTGTTTTTTTCTATTTGTTTGATTTAATGTTCTTTTGTATTTTGCTGAGATGGCTTTCAGGGAAATGTTTGCTTCAGTTGTTTGTTCTCTCTCTGCTGTCTTCCTGGCCTCTTCGACTTTTTCCTTCAGGATCCGCAGTTCTTTGGTCCAGTATGATTTGTAATTTTTTCTCGCACCTCTTGGAATGCACTCATATGCTGCCTGCAGTACTGCTTTGTTTAGACTGTCTACTATTGTCTTCATGTTGCCATATCGTGTGTTTATGTTTTTACAGTACTCATCTGTCAGCAAAAGCAAATTTATCCCAATCAGCTCGTTTGTAATTCCACCGAGGTAACAGTTTCTGCTCCTGTGGGACACAATCCATATTTACAACAAGCTTTACTGGTCTGTGATCGCTGCCTGCTAACTGATCTAGTACACTGCAATCAGTTTTGTGAAGAATATCTCCTGTGCAGAAGGCTAAGTCAGGAGTGGAAGATTTGCACCATCTTCTAGAGTAGAAGCTGGATTTGTCTTTTGGTTTGTTAATTCAATGAAGATTGGAGTCTATTTCCCAGTCCTCCACTTCATCTCCTCTGGTGTCAGTATCTGGGTATCCCCATCTTTCTGAGTGACTGTTAAAGTCTCCAACTACAATATCATTTATTTCCATTCTTGATAGTGCAAGATCTTTGTTTGCTGGGCTATATAAATTGTATATTCTGATTTTCTCCTCCTTTATCATGATATCAACGCCTATAATTTTTGATTCGTTATTGAGTTCACAGCTACTTCACTGCTTGATATAGAGTTTTGAACAAGTATTAGAACTCCTCACTTGTGCCCTTCTTGGTCGCAGCGTATAGCTTGATATCCTCTGACAGAAAATCTGTGATGGGCATTTAGGTGTGTCTCTTGGATGCATGCCACATGAATTTTGTCTTCATGAAGACGGTTTGTTAGGGAAAGCTTTTTATTTAAAACTCCTTCAGCATTCCACTGCAGTATGTTGAGTGTCCTTGATATTTGGTCAATAGCTTTTACCCTAATGCCCTGTGCCTTAACTCCACAGCACAGGGGTAGGTGCCCACCAGTAGTGTTAGGTGGACCCCTTCGAGGCAAGGGGCCCGGCACTATTTCTGCCTGGCGGGGCTCCATGAAATTAGCACTATACCGATATTTTCATTTGTGACTTCATGAAATTTAGGGCGTCTCTCTTCGTCTGGTTCCTCTCCTTTGACCTATCTGACATGGGAGACCCTACCAGTAGCTAAACTACCGTCAGCATAGCTCTTAGGGTTATTGGGACACACAAGCCCCTCTACCACTACAAGGTGGAGACACATCAGAGGGGACCTTTATGTATAATTTCTTTACCTTTTAAAAAAAAACATAATTTTTCTGTAAGAAATTGTCTAAAATCATTTCCTCATTTCTATTCAGACTTTGTTTAGGTTCTTACTTCTTCAAGTTCACCAACTGTAAACTGGCAGAAAGTTCTAGTAATTCATTCACTTCTGGACTTCAAAGTTGTTCCAGAACTCGAGAACTTTTTTGCATACACATTTATCTTACAGACCTTGCTTATTTGTGTGCAGACTGTTGTTTCCTTGCCTCGCAGGAAGATGTACTCTAAATTTTAAAAAAACACCCCTCATTAGTCACCTCCTATGACAACCTCCTTACGGGGCAGTGGTCTATTTTTTCCCAGAATCCACATGGGGATCGTTCAGTTGAATCCTAATTCTTCTTTTTTTCACTTCAGTCCTTTCAGTCTATTTAATACTGTATCTCATATTTTTCCAACACCTATTCACTTAACAACTTAATCATGTAAAGCAAACTGCAACATCTTTAGCTGCTTTTTTTTTTTTCAACTGTTCTACTTTTTCATTAATTATTGTACTTAAATTCTAAGTCCAATAATCGTTATGATTTTCTTACTAGGGTTTTTTCCTGACACTAGTGGGTTACCAGTTGTGGGTGTGACCTGAGGCACAATACCGCTGCTGCAAGTCAAGATTGTACTTTTAGTGCCTTCATGAATCTTATCTTCTAGAACAGTTATGCTGTTAGGTTACACTGACATTATCAGTATAAATGTGAACACTGATTCTAGAATTAACAAACACTTTCACTTTACAAGATACATGTAATGCTGGAAGCTAATCTGTGAAATCAGCCCAACACTGCCAACAAAATTAGTAGATTTTCACTGTCAGTAAAGGTCACTGCACACAAGACGACCTCCAACCCCTTAATCTTCCCTACTATGAGACTGTGATGGCTAGTATTATTGCGTAACTGCCAGGGAACAAATTACTTGAATACCCCTTGAGGCCTAGCCTTTAAAAAAACTGCCAATTACTGCCTTTATTACACCACTTTTGTGGTGTAGGCGTGGGAGAGGGGGGCTTTGAAGCTGAAGATATATGGTCGCATGGCTAGTACTGTCACCACGACTGTGCAGGTGAGGATTTCATTTTACCTCCAACAGAAAAAAATCCCCAGCCTTACTGAGGATTTGAACCTAGCTTAAGACCTAGCCTAAAACAGGTAAGTAAAGGACATTTTATGTCAGGGGTGCATCAGGCCTATGATGTCAGACTCCATTGTTGATGACCAACTGGCACTGGCTGGGTAATGTGGTCAATATAAGTCGTCTAGCCTACAATGTGCCCAGAAAATGTTCTGGAAAGAAAGGCAGACAGCATATTCACCATATCATCCATCAAATGCCTAAACTTAATCCCTTCTGTCCATTTTCAAGAAGACAGTGGAGCCTTTGCTTCTACCACCAGCAGCATGACAGTGGAGGTCATGGCTGTGACAAAGGCCCTAGAATGGCTGAGAACACAAGAATTCAACAATACATGCTTTCTCAGTCACTCAATGAACATTCTACAGAAGATCGAGGCTATGCACATATGGAAACAGCACGCAGCTTTCCACAAAAATCGCCTGCATTTTTGTCCCAGGGCATGCTGGTGTGAAAGGCAATGAGAGAGCAGATGCCCTGGCTGGCAGTGAGACTATCAGGAATGGGCCTTCTATGTACAGGAAACATCATCAATGCCATATGAGAGACTAAATGCTTTGTGGCGTTCAGTTTCGTGGAAAATTATTTTTCACTGAATAGACAGCATACCCTTGGTGTACCAACTGGAGCTGCGAGACAGGAAAACCATGCCGAAGCCACCCGTCATTACATCAACCAGAACAGATTGTTCGTAAACTTACATTGTCAAAATGAACTGTTGGTACATTTTCATGATAAACTGTTGGTACACTTACATGGTCAAAATGAGGTGTTCGTACACTTACATAATCAAGCGGAACCATTGGTACACTTACTTGGTGAAACGGATCTTGGTGCACTACTGTTGTAAGGGATAGGGCTTGACACGGTGCGGGGTCTGATGTGGCTGACTGAAGCTGCTTCATGCTGTTTGGCTACCTCATTGAAATGTCTGCAGTGAAGAATCCATTAGTTCATTAATGATCTCACAACCCACAATCAAAAGTGCTCTGTACATGGGATATATCCTTGGGCACTCTCACATTTGAAATAAACACACCAATAAACAAATGACTCAACTTACAGGCTTTACAACAAATAACCAACTGATTTTATAACTAAAGGAAGCATCTGTTCTTCGGGTTTTCCTCGGCCTCTCTTCCCTTCTAACGTTCAAGTTATTTGAATGTATTCTTGGTTTCTCTTGAAGCCATTTAAGAAAAAGAAATTTAGTAATAGATGAGCTTTCATGTAATTTTGTTTTTAATTCTGGAATTAATTATTATTTCTTTCTTTAGATTTAACAAACACAAAATTGTTCTCGCCACAGAACTCAGATGTATTTGTGTACACAATACTCCCTCAAATGTACAGCTACAGCCTCAGTCTTGCATCATGTTTACAGCTGTTAACTATTGTCCATTTCTTTAATTGCCTTTGTATACAGCAGCACTTCACCAGGAAACTTGTTTTCAACACATAGATGCAACTCACGAGCACTGACTACATATTCTACAAATGTTTGATAAAGGTCTTAGAAATAAAATAAATGTGAAAGGAATATTTGACAGAAGAGTATTATATTAAAATAATGATGTGGCAATTTTGTAGCAGACAAAATATGGTTTTAAAAGAAGGAAGTGGGATTCTCTGTGACAGCACATATGTGTGGGAATGTCCCAAGCACAGTAATGTTAATTCTTTACTCACTCATTCATTTATTCTTTTGTAAATGTTCCTGTTTGATTTATTGGCTGAAGTTTCAAATACTGAGTCTCAAGTACAACTCACTTTCTACATTATATATCACAAGTGAATAATTTCTCACCTTTCATCATCCATTTCTAAACTTGACTCAGATTCTGATAAATGCCGACAAAGATTTTCCCTTCTTTCCATCTCCAGCTGCAGCCTGCGCTGTAACCTCAAATTTTCTTCCCTAATCTGTCTTTCCTCCTGGGCATATTGAGCCATTTTCTCAGCATCTGAAGAGGAGTTTTCCCATTAGGTTAACAGAAAAAACAATACCCCATGAAACATAAACACTTTATATATATATATATATATATATATATATATATATATATATATATATATATATATATATATATATATATATATATATATATATATATATATATATATATATATATATATATATATATATGCTTGGGACATGCAGTGAAAATGGCAGAAAAAAGAGTGGCAAAAACTGCATAAATAAAAGAGTTGAATGAGAGCATACCATGAGGCAGACCAAGAAAACACTGGAGAGATAATACACAAGCAGTCCTACAAACACATACAAGTCACCAATTAGAAAGAGAAGACCAGTTGCAAAGAACTGCTGCCATGAAGCAACTGAAGACAATGCAACTATCCCATCACTAAGCACTCTCACAGCCTGGGCACTGCCATGAAGCAACTGAAGACAATGCAACTATCACATAACAAAGCACTCTCACAGCATGGACTCTGCCAGGAAGCAATTGAAGACAATGCAACTATCCCATCACTAAGCACTCTCACAGCCTGGGCTCTGCCATGAAGCAACTGAAGACAATGCAACTATCCCATCACTAAGCACTCTCACAGCCTAGGCGCTGCCATGGAGCTATTGAAGACAATGCAACTATCCCATCACTAAGCACTCTCACAGCCTGGGCTCTACCATGAAGCAACTGAAGACAATGCAACTATCCCATTATTAAGCACTCTCACAGCCTAGGCGCTGCCATGGAGCAACTGAAGACAATGCAACTATCCCATCACTAAGCACTCTCACAGCCTGGGCACTGCTATGGAGCAATTGGAGACAATGCAACTATCCCATCACTAAGCATTCTCACAGCCTGGGCGCTGCCATGAAGCAACTAAAGACAATGCAACTATCTCATCAATAAGCACTCTCACAACCTGGGCTCCACCATTAAGCAACTGAAGACAATGCAGCTATCACATCACTAAGCACTCTCACAGCCTGGGCGTTGCCATGGAGCAACTGAAGACAATGCAACTATCCCATCATTAAGCACTCTCACAGCCTGGGCTCTACCATGGAGCAACTGAAGACAATGCAACTATCCCATCACTAAGCACTCTCACAGCCTGAGCGCTGCCATGAATCAATTGAAGACAATGCAACTATCCCATCACTAAGCACTCTCACAGCCTGAGCGCTGCCATGAAGCAATTGAAGACAATGCAACTATCCCATCACTAAGCACTCTCACAGCCTGGGCACTGCCATGAATCAATTGAAGACAATGCAACTATCCCATCACTAAGCACTCTCACAGCCTGAGCGCTGCCATGAATCAATTGAAGACAATGCAACTATCCCATCACTAAGCACTCTCACAGCCTGGGCGCTGCCATGAATCAACTGAAGACAATGCAACTATCCCATCACTAAGCACTCTCACAGCCTGGGCTCTACCATGAATCAATTGAAGACAATGCAACTATCCCATCACTAAGCACTCTCACAGCCTGTGCGATGCCATGAATCAATTGAAGACAGTAAAATACAGTTGTTCGTCCATTTTCGGACATTGGTCTTGGTCCAGAACTAGAGTTTTGCATGCACATCCATTTCACAGATCTGACTTTGTGTGCAAACTACTGGTTCCTTGCCTCTCAAGCAAATGCACTCCGACTTCAAAAGAGACATCCATAATTAGTCACCTTGTTATGGAGGCAGTAGGTCTGTGTTTTGTGTGCCTCAAAATAGGGCCGTGGAAACTGCACAAGAAGTATTTGTGGTCAAGTCTGCACTGGAAGAACAAACTGTAAAGTGCTTTCTATATCTAGTTAATGAGAGGCTGGTTGGTTTCTTTTAAAGCAACACATTACAATGTTGTTTGTACCTTTAAACAAAAGCAGAAACAGCTGTACTAACAATGTAATAACTGCTTAAAAGACCAGTGGTGGGGTGTGATCATTTGCATGTGTAAGCCTTAGCAGGTAACGATTACATTGGAGAGGGTATCATGTGATATTTTTCTGCTCATCGCTTTTCTTTCGACAGTATGTGTGCACAGTTAGCGTCATAGTTCTATTAACTTGTAGCTTTCACAAGTTATAGTTTCTGCATGAGTAATATAAGCATTCAGAGAGTGTTCTTTTCTATTTGTTCAAGACGTAAACCAAGTGGCATTTTTGTAATAAATAGTAAACAATAATAATAAATAGTAAAATAATGCATTTTTCATTGGCAATGTAGAGTAAAAGTGATGATTGCAGCTGTTGTATGCAAACCTCGCCAGGGTTAAAGACACCAATCTGACATAAAGCTACCAATTTTAATATGTAAAGACAGCATTCATCTGTATGAGAAAAACAAGAAGCTGAAAGTGTTCTGGGAAGTAAAGACAACCTTATAATATTTACTACTTCACTCACTTAGTGCCGATTATAATAATATGGGGCTATCATAAACCCAGTGACAATCCCATATTTTATAGACAAACTGAATCAACATATGTGTGCAGACCGCCTTTACTTCCCATAATACTACAACTAACTTAACCAAAAGCAGTAAAAAGACTCCTTTTTTTTTTTTTAATAAATAAATTGTATCAAGAGGAAAGCAAATGAATCATTCCAAGTATAGTTTCATGTTTAAAGAAACAATCAATCTGATTAAAGCAGAATGCACAGACAAGTAATATTCATGCTCAGGTTATACCTTTCTATTATAACAAAACTCACAGACAGCTACGTTATACTGGAAGGTGATAATTCTGACCAAACAAAAGGGATCTCAACATATACCGTACATGGTGAATAACACTTACGCTCAACTTGGGCACTCCTCAATTGTTCTTTCAGCTTATTGACCTCTGACCGCAGACTATCAATATGCTGCGCTAGGTTACTTGCAGTATCACCATTGTTGATATCTCTGGGGCTCAGAGGAGCAGAGATGGGCTGATCAAGCTTTTCCTGCAGCAGTCTGAAAGAAGATCACAAGCTAAATATAACATCTTTGGGAGTTCCATCCTGTGGTGCATACTGTCGTAAAGCTATGCGCCAAGCTGTCATCCATCCTGCCACCGTGCTCAGCACGCACCATGGCCACCTCATATTATTCACATCTCCCTCTAATTCTTTCTCTCTGTTCTAAGGTCTCCCTTTTTTTCTTTGACCCAGAAGTTTCCAGTGAAAGCACATTCTAGTTATATTATTATCAATTTTTCCCATCCTATCCAGTGCTAGAGTCTTTTCTTCACCTCCTGATTCACCAGAATTTGTTGAGTTCTGTCCCAAAGCTTCCCCCATTAGTGATTACATCATATCATATTTGATTCCCCCTATTCTATGCAGGTGCCTGTTAATCAATGTTTAGTTTATCTTTAACAGCTTCAGTCATTCTCCATGTATCTTTTCCACAAAGCAGTGCTGATCTGATGTCAGAATTACCAATTCAAAGTTACAAAAGCTCCTTTTATCTTTCTATTTATTTTATTTTTCTTCTTTTCCTCTTTTACAGCTTCAGGTGTTGAGGGAGAAATGAGGTTCTGTTCTTGCTTTTCTGGTCACCTCTATTATAAACACAAGGTGCTGTTGTTGAGTTTCTCTGATGTTATCTTTCCAACTTGTTCTTGGTCTATCTTCCTGGTTCTACATCGTCCTCCTCTTTTGTTGTATGCCTTGTATGGCATGGCCTCACAAGACATTCTCTTTAAGTGAGCAAACCATTTGATCTGCTGTTTTTGAATGTAATTTAGTAGAATTGGGCCAACTTTCCACTTATGACCTAATCATAATTTTACCTCTTCTTTTGTCTTTATCTCTATCTGTTAATTTATCTTGAAAACACTGTTGTCTAAAAGTATGGCACTGTTGTAAAATGTATGGCACTGTTGTCTAAATGTATGGCCTGTTGTCTAAATGTATAGCACTGTTGTCTAAAAATATGGCACTGTTGTCTAAATGTATGGCACTGTTGTCTAAATGTATGGCACTGTTGTCTAAATGTATGGCACTGTTGTCTAAATGTATGGCACTGTTGTCTAAATGTATGGCACTGTTGTCTAAATGTATGGCACTGTTGTCTAAAAGTATGTATGATTCTCCATACTGTAGTGAGCTTCATCAAGGCAGATTTGGTTGTTTTTCTCATTTATTCTCATCTTTGAATTTCCTATATGCATTTTAAGACACAAAAGACAGCAAGTATATTTAATTGATCTGGCACCCAATCTGTGAGCGGGACAGAAGATTAATGTCATCAGCAAAGTCTAGATCATCAGACTGCTCTGTCACGGTCCAATGAATTCAATTTTTTTATGGTAGTTGTTTATGCCTTCATAATTCTAAATATCTCACCATACCTAGTCAATATATACGCAGAAAATTTAATGAGAAATGTCAATAATGACCAGACTTGTGACTGTTATGATCGCTCAAAATTGGTGGCAACACTATTTCGGAACTCCACTACGCAGATGACACAGTCCTCCTTTCGAACAGCGTAAAGGGAACAGAAAATGTTTGTTTGTCTGTCCAAAAGAACAGTGAGGAATCAAAACCTGTTCTTGAATTTAAAGAAACGAAAATAATGTCCACAGATAAAACTGGCTGTCACCCAAAAATAACAATAAATGATGAAGAAATTGAAAATGTCACAAACTTTGAATATCTAGGCTCTATAATAAACAACAATGGAGACTGTTCGACAGAAATTAAAAGGAGGATGGCCATAGCAATGCAAAGATTGAACAAAAGTCTAGAGTTAAGCACCAGCAAATAGATAAAAATTAGAATTTTGAGAGCATGAATCTTCCCTGTGGCTACATACGGATGTGAGTCGTGGACTATCTCTCAGTTCTTAAGAAAGAGAATAGGGGCTTTTGAGCTGAAATGCTATAGAAAGATTCTCAGAATATATTGGACAAAGAAGATGAGAAATATTGACATCTTGAAAGATCAGAAAAATCCAGAAAGATTGACTAATAAACAGCATCCTTTCTCGAAAGCTGAAATATTTTGGTCATATAAAGCGTCACGACGAATTGGAAAAAATTATAGCAGAAGGCATGGTACCAGGAAAGAGGGGCAGAGGCCGACCGACACGAAGATGGGCACAGGATATAAGTGACTCCTTGAGTGTGAAAGTGCATGAGGCAGGAGAACTGGTGAGAGACCGAGTTTCTTTCAGGCAGACTGTGATGAGAGTGACGTTCTGCAAGGGACCTGCTACATGATGATGATGAATTCTAAATATAGTCTGTAAAAATAATTAAGATGACAGAAAGGTCCCTGTCACATATGTTATTTCAAATGTATCTGTTATGTTTTCCCAGATTTTATATTTGTATATGCTGTTTTTATTAAGTTAGTGATTTTTTTAATGTAATTCTTTAGTGCCTTGTCAGTTTCCAAAGTAATAACCTACCATGATGTCAAAAGTTTTTCAGTCAACAAATCCAATGTAAAGTACAGAGATTATTTCAATACTCTATCCTACAATTATGCATAATGAGGCTTTCTAAACAGTGCCAGATCTTTTGGTTGAAGACCTAATTTTTCATTTCTTAGTTCTCGGTCACTTTAATTATATGATAAAATGGAAGCTTTCTACCTCTCTAAATGTGTGTAGGCAACCATCAGGTCCCAGGGACCATACAACTGTGCCGCTGGTTTTGGGAACAGTCTGACATGACTGCAAAGTCTAATGCAGGAGTGGCAGCTGCATAAAAACACTGATACTCTAATATACTGAGGCTATACTCTATAGCTAGCTAAATTTGGCCTCTAGCAATGTGCAACAGTCCATCTAGCCCTGTCTGCCTCCACAGAAGTCAGTCTGCAGGTGACCTCTGCCAAGTGTATGTGTTACTGTTAGTATCAATGCTGCTTTCTTTCAGGTTTTCTATCTCATAATAATCCTCATATAAATAAAATTCATATATGTATAATTATATGACAAATTTAAATTTATTAGAATCGAATATTTACAGCAGGGATATTCAACTTTGTTTACTCAGGAGCCAACATTTTGAAAATGGAGATCGATACAAGCCAGAGGCCTGAGCCCTGGCATAGAACGATCATTAACACAGCACAACTGACAATAATCCGCGGGCCACTTGTTAGGCCTTAGCATGCGAAATCTGGCCCACAGGCTGACAGCCTTAATCGATATCACACTAAACTACATGTGCAGACAATTTCTTGCTTTCAAATTAGCTTGTGTAAATGAACACACTGAGTGGCTGTACTAAGTATTAATTAGGAAAACTTCTCCCACATAATCTATACATAACTTATCGCATATTAAATTCCATTAGCTAGCAACTAAAGTATTCTAAATTCAGGGTAAACTATTTTGTTCTCAGTCTATACAGAGGAAAATTCTCCCCACAGTAAAGGTGTGGCTCATACTATCGAAAGAAGCAGGAAAGCAATATAACTAGAATGTCTTTGCACCGGAACTCACAGGGACATCAGAATAAAGGAAAACCAAAAAACACATGGAAAAGGGAGCTGGAGGGTGAGATTAAAAGATGGGGAGGGCATGGCAAGAGCTGCATGCATAGTGAAGGACAGAATGATTTGGCGTGAGTTAGCTGAGAGCCTATGCTCCATTGGGGGTTAGAGAGGCAGAAAGAAGAAGAAGAACTGGCAGCTACTATTCATTCATTCATTCAGTAGCATGTCCCTCGCGGAACCTCGCTGCCATAACAACCCTCCGGAAAACCTTCCTATCCTGAGCAAGATGTCCTGCGTCTGATACACCCATCTGGAGATCATCTGCCACATCCTGCACCCATCTTCTGCAGCTACTATTGCTCAGTGTAAATTTGTTATGTGTGAATGCTGAAAGCAACTGATCATTTGATAAGGAAAATACTTGAGAGGAAAATTGACTACCTTTTCTCTGCTTCTAGTTTATCCATTCGTTTCCAGAGTCTGTTGACCAGTGATTCTTGCTCCTGTTCCAGTGAATTTTCCAGCTCAACTTTTTCTCTTCTCAGCTGTGTTCATGCAGAAAATACAAGTTAGCCATTGGCAACATAACTGTACATTTAGAACAACCATGATTTTTTTTTCCACACTTCTTGTCTTTTCTAGGTTTTTAATCTCCCAGCTATATTCTGTATTTACTGGCAAATTATATGCTGCTCTAAAAACAATGAACTAGTCAAAGTGTAAACAGCGTCACTTCTTTTTACAAAAATGTAATAAACACACAATGTATGTTTATGAAAAGAAAAGCAGTAGGTTCAAAATAGGAAAATCTTGAAAGGGTCAGGCTGAAAACATTTGTCAGCAAGTTTGCTCATTTCAGAAAAGAGAATCTGCTGAAGAATGGGTAGAAGTGCCAACAAAGTTCTTTGCACTGCAGGTCATTTTCATCCAGCACAAGATTGGGCAAACAAACAAACAAAAACAGCAGACAACAAAAACCAAGAGGTGTGGAGAAAGAAGTTCAGGATATCACACATGAGAATTCTGAAGGTGAAGAAGTTATTTACACAGGTGGGCCTATATTTCAATATCTGCAGAGATATTTTCTATATCTGCCTCAGGTTGAAGAGAAAACAGTGGATTTTCTTGAAAAGCATTTGTTTGTTTTGTTTGTTTTAGTATCCAGAAGCCATGAGTTGTTAACCCTTAGGCTCGGTATTATGGATTTCGCAACCTTTCGGCCTTGATTCCATTGTAAATACCGTAAATCTGGGAGAAAATGTGGCTTTTCTGAATACCCCCAGGATTGAACCCGGACCACAAGGAGTTCGTCACCCGGTCTCCACGCAATCCGGTTTAGCCAACTACGCTAGAGAGCCGGGCTTGAAAAGCGTTTAAAGGCAAGCAATTTTAAAAACATGTGTAAATGAACCTAACAGGCACATACAATAACATTTCATGATAAATATCATTGTCACTAGTTAGCACATATCAAGTAAATGACAGAAACTGTTGAAACTTACAAAATCAACTTGCCTATGTTAACAATTTCTAATGTGTTGTCTTGGAACTGTAGGCTTTTCTAATCTGTACAGAAACAGTATGGACACATAAACAAATTAACAATTAGCTAGCCTAATTAATAAAAAGCATTACCTCTGTTATATATGCACACATGGTGCGCCAGCTAAGCTCATGAGTCCCAAAGCGGATATAATTTACATATGTAACAACACACTAACACTAGCATGTTATCTGCTGCTGTATTTATGTCCCTTTACCTGTTCAAGAGTCTGCTGTTTGTTATAAGTGTCTGCCTCTAACTTTTCAATTTTTCTCATGAGTTTATTTATCTGGCATTCTTGCTCCTTTTCCAGTGTTTCTTCCAGTTCAATCTTTTCTTGTCGCAGCTGTTGGGAATAATCAAACAGTAGCACAGTGGTTAAATGCTTACCTCTGCTTAATTAATTAATAAATGTCGGTTCCTAGTGTAGGGGATAAAAACAAGAATAGACCAATCCCCCCCCCCCCCCATCCAACAAGCATGTGGTAAATGTCAACTGATCAGCGGTTTCTTCCGAAGTCTGACTGCATCTGCCTGAGAGACAAAGAACCAACAGTCTGCATATACATAAGGCAGCTCTGTAAAAGGGATGTGCATGCAAAACTCAAGTTCTGGAATAAGACTAAGTGCAGAAGTGAGCACACAACCAGAGCTTTTAACAGGAATTTACAGCCGGTGAAAAAGAAATGCTTACCTATTGGCCTGGCCTGAAGGTCTTGGGTGCAAACCTACATGAAGATGAATTGTTATAACTGACCTGGGCTCCCAGCTCAACCCAGTCTAAAGTGGGTATCAGAAAATATGCTGAGAAGTAAAGGCAGCCGACCACATAATCTAATGTGTGCTGATTTGTCTATACAAATATGGACCGAGAACCCTAAGCACAAGTGCTGTGAAAAAGGTCCTTTACTGGTACTAATTAACCCAAATCTACTTTAGGTAGGCCATTATAGGGGTTATTTTATTTTGAAGGTGATTTGTTAAATGACCTATAGAAGATTATAAATTACCATCAATCAGTGATAGACAGTAAAAAATTAACAATCAATAAAGACATGAAAAATTGTGATTTTTTTTTTTCTGCTTTGTCAACAGAAGTATATAAATGAATATTATTAATAAGAACTAGGGGACAGAGAGCTTACTGGGAATGCATCAATACCAATGCCTCTTCTCAGTCGGGTATTGTTGTCAACAAACTTCAACTACAAAAGGATCATTTACATCACACTCAGTGTTATCCCATATGGGCTCAGTTGCACTCTCTCTCTCTCTCTCTCTCTGCAGAAGAGTTAGTCACCCCTGGAAAATGTCACATGAAGTATTAAAATCTGCAGCTCCAGTAACAACCCTCAGGGATCTCCAAAACACTGCACTTAAGCACAAGTCTGAAACCGAACCCACAAACTTCACAATGTAAGGCAAAAGCCATATACTCCCGACCCATTTTTTTTCTCTTGACAAAAAGTTACCGTGGGAGATACCATCGTTTAAGTTGCAAATGAGCCTACATTTTGCAAAATCTATTAACGATCAACTCCTACCCTAAATTACCTTTATTAAAATACTGAATCACCTTAGGCCTAATCAATATTCAAAATATTTAGGAGCAAAATTTGATTGTTGATTTATTTAGCTATTAAGATTTCTTATTTTTATGCTAGATTGTTTTCCTTTTTTTCTGTTGGGAGTAATATTTAGCTTTCAGGCTATATATATTTAGTTTAGTTCAATTTTGTTTAATTAGTTATCCGCACCTTTTTCTTCTTCTTTTTTTTTCGCCTTCACCCTCTGTAAACTCCTGCAGAAAGTACCGGTTGTTCGTCCACCTCTGGATTTTAGTCTTGTTCCAGAACTAAAGTGTTGCGTGCACATCCTCTTTGCAGATCTGGCTTACTCGTATGCAGATTGTTGGTTCCTTGCCTCTCAAGCAGCTGCACTCCGACTTCGAAGAAAAGCCCCCAATTAGTCGACTAATACAAAATGCTTGTTGGGGAGGCAGTGGGTCTATTCTTGTCTTCTCCCACGCTGGGATCCTGGAACCCAAACGGGAAACATTCATAAGCCACATTTAAAGTTAACAAATTTAAAAATTTTAGTAATAACTAATTTTCATTAAAATATATACAAATTAATGTCCAGATGTCAACTATTTTTACAGTTTATACCCTAATGGTCAGATTTGTAGGAATCTATTCTACTGTAAACTGAATCTGCTTAGTAACCTCACAATCACAAAAGGCAGTAGGTTAAAAAGAGGGAAATCATGGATGGGTCAAGCAGAGGACATTATTTTACAGGTATTTTCACTTAAGGACATAGAACTCGGAGAGGAGTGGGTGCAAGTGCCTTCAGAGTGCTGTACATCCTTTTCTGTTTGCATCCAACTAGATAAAAAATGCAGACAACAGAGTCGGCTGCTATGGAACGCTCTTGTTTCGAGAACACTCTAGAGAGTGATACTGTCATTTACACAGATGAGTCTGTCATCCGCCATGTTAGAAGCTCGTGGGCTTTCATGCCTCAGATTGGAAGGAGAGTTGTGAAGTAAAATTCTGGAGCTTTTGCCATAACTACAAGTAGTCTGACTATGGAGGTCATGCCTGTGACTAAAGCAGTAACGTAGCTAGAGACACAGACTTTCACTGGAGCATTCTTTCTCAATGAATATGCTCAGGAAGATAGAGAAGGGCTGGGTCCAAAGGCAGTAGTTGTTAACTCTACAGCGTTCACGGCTGACCAGGATTAGTTTCACTTTCCTGCTAAGATATGTGGGGGTACAAGGAAACGAGCAAGCTGATAGACTTGAAGGTAAGGCTACTGTGAAAGCCGGACAAGCCATGGACCAGGCTGATACAGTGAATGCTCTACAAGATTTAAGATGTTTGTGTGAACCAACTGAGAACTATGAATCTGCAACCATGGTCAGACTGCAAGAACAGCTTAAACAAGTTAAATGGGGTGTCACCAAACAAGAACACTTCGCGAGTAACCAAAGAAGAATAACCCAACACAGAACTGGTGTCGTCAGCAGCTACACACTGCGGGATTTACCAAGAGGGGATCCATGCACTTATTGACTGAGTGGTTTGATGTGCAATGAGGATAATCTGTCGACTAAATAACTGAAAATCACAAAAGAAAAATGAAGGTCACAATTAGTGATGATCTAATAGTTTAATCACTAGGTAAGACAAAAGTGAACATAATAAAATGGCTTAATGCCTGGAGGGAAATATCTATCCATCTTCCATCTTTTTTTTTTTAATCAAGCAGTTAGAACGAAGGGCTTTTATTTAATTGACCTGAATTCAAATGTTTGAAAAGGTAATGTAATTTTTTTTGTGGGGTCACAGACCCACTGTTTGCAGTTTGTGGTGACTGTACTATCCATGCAACACTAAATCCTGCAAGCTATAAGTCCCCCCTTCCTCCCCATCCTACATCATCAAGTGCCTTGCCAACTAGCGTGTGCGATCATGCCTCTCCATAATCTGCATTCTGCAACTGCGTGTATCAGTTCGTGTGCTGACACCCCCTCATGCCATGACAAAAGATTATTAATAATCTTCTCACACTGTCTTCCTCTGTCTGTCTTTCTAGTGGTCACAACATGTTCCAGTTTCCCTCTTCTCCTAAAATGACAAAAAAAATTATGACTGCCTTTTTCTGATGTTTGTGATGTACTCGAGCAGACGGTGCACCAAAGAATTCTAAGGATTCTACTGTGAAACTTCATCTCCAAGGCCTCAAGATATTTTTCAGGTTGTTTATTATTGTCCAGGCTTCACAGCCATATGTTAAAACTGGCAAATACAGGTAATATGTTTATTTACTTAGAATTACACTTAACAATTATGCCAAATCATTTGTACCTGGTAAAGTTTGCGTGACAGGTCATTCGTCAGGTACTCCTCTTCCTGTTCATAATTCATTGCCAACATCTCTTTTTCTTTCTTCAACGACTGAATCTTTTTCAGGAGGGTGTTGCTGATAAACTCCTCTTCCTGCTCAGCTTTAGCTTGCTGTATTCAACAAAGACATCACAGGTTTTAATATATAATGCCAATGTAGACAGACATTTAACAACACAAATGGATGGATATATATCAAACAAAATGAAACAAAAAGGTATGTCAAGGTCCTGAAAAAAACACAAGTAAAAACACATAAACATATGTTACAAGGACCCCAGGTCATGTAAGTATGGATCTAGACTGTGAAAATCCCATATTTCACCCATGAATGAATTAATATGGAAATGTTAGGAAAATGTTTACATATATGTAAAAATGGCTATAAAAATTAATTCTTCCTTTGTTCACTTGGCAAAGATTATCTATATATGCAGTGGTGTGTTCTGAATGACTTACAGTATCATGAATTTTGTATTTTTATATATTTTTTTTAGGTTTTTTTTTAGTTCACTCAATGGTCCATGAAGTAGTGTTGTTAGGTCAAAGGGTTTGTCCTAATCGCAAGTCTGTGTGACAAGCTGACTGCTGTGGTGCACTGACTTCAGCACCTTAGCTTGCTAGGGTAGACCACGAACTTGTCTGAGTTTGGTTACACAGACAAGTACTGATACATCTATAACAACACACCAAGTATCTGATATTTTGGTTACAAAAACTCATGTCCAGACAACACAAATCTGCATCATAAGAGATTTATTATGAAATATAAGCCCTGAATATATGAACTCCTAACATATGCTTGTAAACAAAGTGGTGAGGATAAGGTGCAGGACTTCTGCATTTAGTGAATAAATACAATGTGTAGTAGTCTGAGCATAATGCTGCCATAATGGGACAGGTAGGTTTAACTTACTAGGTCATGTTCATGTGTGTCTGCATGTTTTCCCACAGGATCTTGACATTTTTATTGTGTTTTACATTGTCACATACTGCTACAGTCGGGATCTCTGGTATTTGTTATACATAATATTTTTCTTCTTCTTTGCGTTCAGTTTCTCATGCTCAGGTCAGACCATCAGGTGGGCTGCCCCAATGAATTTGTATGTCAGTTGCCTGCAGAATGTACTCAGGTGTTTGTGGTCCCATCTGTGGGGATTGTACACACTTTATTTTATGCATGTTCTAGCTGAGCCTGCAGTGTCTTGTTCTTAAGATGGAAATTGTTGTATATATGTATGTATGTGGGTATATTTACACATACAAACACACACACACACATATATACACACACATGTAAGTGTTTATATATGCAAGACATTGCAGAAAAAACCCCAGCACTTTCTAGCTGTTGTAGTTTTTCAAGACAAATTTACGTCCAGTAGTTTGCCACTGCTTTCTGGACAGTCGGCTCTCGGTACCACGGTCGAAA